TTTGTTTAATAAAAGGCAATGCAATGAGTATAATATGTATATCTAGCCCAGCTTAATTCTATTTTATATTTCTTCTACATAGTCTAGAACTCATATCCCCAGCAATGAACCAAACCTGGAGCTTCACTGGGACAAAATAATGACCGTTGCTCATTATTTTGCACAATTTCCATGAATACGATCATAAATCAAAATATCATAGTTTAGATTCATGTCCCGATTCTCGTCCTATGAATTGCAATAAAGAGATATAAGCTATAAATAAGCATGCAAGACAAAAATGTCATAAACTTACCAGTTATCACACAAATAAGAATTTGCACCTGTACTAAACTTTTGGTTAAAATCCTGGCAGTTTGAAAAGAACTACAACCACAACTCATGGGCTTGAAATGCTTCGTGTGAGATAATCAGAGTGATCTGTTGGAATTTTTGTCCAAAAAGACCACCTGCCGAATCGAATTAACAGAAAAGACCACCTTAAAATTCAAATGGCAAAAAAGACTAGCTCACTGTGGCGGCTGGAGCGCCAGCCAACACGTGGCACCTGCCGCCACGGGTGCAGGCGGCAGCACCTGCCGCCATCGTCGCAGGCGGCATGTTGAGCAGCACAGCTACAAGCTTTGCCTTGGAACGGAAAACGGAAGACGTGGGGCCTGCCGCCACATGCTGCGGCGGCACCCTTTGCCAGCACCAGGTTTGCTCTATTTTATCAAATAGGTGATGGGACTGCGCATGCATTATCTATGCATGACATGAAAGCATGCGCATGTCTGTGACTGTGTGTGTTCGCTGGCTAGCTATCAGCATTCTTTGCATGCATCGGTATGGAGTCAAGCTATAGCCACGGTAGCACTGCCACCACGCTAGCCAAAACATGAACAACAGCAACAGAAGCTGCCGCCTCGCATGGTGACGGCAGGTCCCAAAGGAGCTGCTCCGTTCCGTCGCACTGACGAAAATCTGTGGCACGACGGCTGCCGCCTGAGCCGGTGGCGGTAGGTGCCACGTGTCGGCTGGCGCACCTGCCGCCACGGCTTCACTGGTCTGTTTTGCCAATGTGATTCAAATGTGGTCTTTTTTGTCAATTGTGTTCCACAAGTGGTCCTTTTGGACAAAAATTCGATCTGTTGTAGTTACTATAAATACAAGTCATCCTAGTTTGTAGGCATTATAGGAAGTCCAAGGACATGCAAGTGATCCTATGAGACCCAGCACAACATCGTTTGGTGAGACTGATGCATCAATTGCTCTGTAGTGTATCTACCATAGATAGTAGCTGTGTAACATAGTATTTTCTTTTCTATTAGTGGCTTAAAGTCTTGTACACCAAGGCCTGCCATAATGTAGTAATTCAGTTGATTCAGCTTGCCGTTCCAAGCAATGAATATAAAAATATGCTGACTGCAGGTTAATTTACATGTAGGTGCTTGTGGGGGTGAAGGAGGGGCTCGTTTCTGAAGTGCAGCACCTGAAATCAGTGTGTACTGTTTCCTTCAAACCCCATATTTACCTTCTGGTTCTGTGTGTATCCTAAACATTTTCAAGCTAACACTGTGGTATTTGCTTCAAGGACATAAAGGAAATCAGGTCTGTTACTCCTTCCGTCCGAAAATACTTGTCATCAAAATGGATAAAAGGGGATGTATCTAGACGTATTTTAGTTCTAGATACGTCTTTTTTTTATCCATTTTGATGACAAGTATTTTCGGACGGAGGAAGTATTTAAGAAGAGAAGGCAAACTCAATAAACCCAGGCCGGGCAGGCACAAGAGCAAGTACTAAGACTGATGATGTATGAATGAAGAAATAAACTACAGTGCAAGCATGAAATCTGTGATAGTTTATTCATTGCTTTCACATCATTACTCAAATAACTTATACAGTAAATAGACCCATCAAATGAGCTGGGCATTACCCTCTGAAACAAAAATCGAAGATAATGCACAAAATTAGATTAGAATGGCAAGGCTACAAGTTGCATTAAGATACTTATACGAGTATAAAGATCACACATGTACAGGCTCTTTCATCGAACACCTTGTAGGCACATAAATAGATAGATAGAGAGAGAGAGAGAGAGAGAGAGAGGGCTCGAAATAGGAAGACCGGACAGATCCAAACTCACCTTCTCCTCCTGCTTGACCTCGGCGCCACGTGAGCCAGAGTGGAGATCGACATAGATGACGAGCTCGTGCATGGCATAGCCCGTGGATTTCAACCTGAAGAGGCCATTCATCTTGGGGGATAGTCTGTCGCCGTGGCAACGAGGGCAAGGTCGCAGCAACATGCCTCATCTGTGGCGCCGACAAAAAGGCGAACCAGTCGCGGAACAACGTCATGACCAGCGAGCTAGCCGTGCCCGTGCACCGCCCCTCCTAGGGTGGCTGTCTCCTCCGGGGATGGAATAAATCCGAGGGGATCCTCCTGCCAGTGGCCATGAATGGGGAGGACCAGATCACGGGAAGAAGAGGCTCCCCATCGACCATCTCCGCCGCCGACACCTCCTGCTACGGGGCCGAGACGTGCGTCGTCCGCACCGGATCGCCTCCACCCGTTGTCCTTGTGGCGCACCGGAGCTCGGCTAGGAGACAGGAATGGGGAGAAGAAGAGGCAGAGGCGGAGGCCACGAGAGAGAGATGCGGACGCGAGGTGTACGCGAGAGAGATGGAAGAGGAGGGATATGGGGTTTGCTTCGTGAGGAAGGGATGATGAGCAAAAACGTATCCAGGTAACACCTCCCTCAGCGAGCGCCCTTTCCTTTCCATTTTTTTCTCTCCCATCGACACCTCCTGCCCAACCCACGCGCTCGCTCGATCGAGCACTGCCGACGTGGACACCACGAGCGATCGCACCTTGTGCGCACGTTAATGCTTCTCGATGCTCGGAGAGCTCGCACAAGCGTGACTCAATGTCCCTCTCTTCAGTCAGAGAGCATCAGATACCGGGGTCGACAATATAGAGCTCAACCGACGCTCCAATTTATTGATCTACTTCCAAACCGAACTGGACGAGCCCCGATTCCAAACCTTCAAGGAGCCAACAACCGTACGAAGATTATCGCAAGTAGCCTGAAGGGACAAGTCACCCGTCCTCCCCTCTCGGCCCAGGCGCCTTCAAGATGTTCTTTATAATCAGCCGACCCCCGAAGCCACATGGCCTCGTATTTAAATCCTTGTTGCACCGGTATGTGAGCCCGTACTTCGTCGTCAGAGCAAGCCCGATAAGAATGGCACAACAGGAGGTTGTGGTCACATGCTCAACACAGCAATCCTCATGCATATTTGTGAACAATACTAAAGGGCTATTTGTTCGGTTTTGCTAATTCTCAGATACCTGAAAATTTTGCACGCATTAGTCACCTTCTTCCTTCCTTCACGTTGGAGCTCGCCGGAGAATCTATCTTAGGGGGGAGCCATAGCCCCATTATCTATCTTGGAGGGATGGCCGGGGCGGTGTCCAACACGGTAGTGGGAAGCGGTAGAGGGGAGGGCGGGGCGGTGAGGTGGCACCAGCCGGCTACGGTGGACGGAGGCAGACGGCTAGCTAGGCTTGGGCTGGCCGGCGGCTACACATGACGAAGAAGAAACCAGATGGACAGTGTCAGATCTGTTTACAGCCGTTGGATGAAGATTGGACGGTCTAAAATAGAAGTGGTTGATGGAAGTTTTTTTTTCCAGGTACCTGATGCATAGCCAGTCCCCTGTTTGTTTCAAGTTCACACCCATACGACATCATCTGCCCCCGGACACGAACCAAATAAGGGGTTAAATCAGTTGAGATGGAAGAAGTGAAATTCCTTGAAAACATTAATCTGAGCACCTCATACAAATTAAATACTATATCCGTCCGAAAATACTTGTCATCAAAATAGATAAAAAGAATGTATCTAGAACTAATATACATCTAGATACATTCCCTTTTATTCATTTCGATGACAAGTATTTTCGGACGGAGGGAGTATAAGCATATCGCAATAGATATGCATCTGTCTCATACTATGACGTTCCGTCATGAATTCACCGCGACATGCTCCGTGTCCATCAACCCTCACATGCAAAGTTGATGATCCCGTTGGAGAGACATCTCGGCGTCAAACAATGGCACGTTCAATCCAAATAAACTACTCAACCCATGCAGTAGGCAGATGACAGTTTTAGGGCTGGGCGGGGTAAGATCACGAACAGAGCCGTCTACAATAGGACAGAGCACTCTACACACTTCTGTTGGAATCCAAATAAACCAATCCGTCCGTGTGGAGAAATTCTGCGAGTGCGCCGACTACGCAGCCCGCGCGATTTCCATTTCACACGCCACCTTTTGACCCGTTCAAAATATAAACATAAGAATGGACAGGCAAGCAAGCAAGCCAAAGCGCACGCCGATCCCGTTTCGATCAGAAAGCAACTCCTCCGGCTCCTCCACTTGGCCGTGCATCCGCGCGCATGCGACGGCATCCGTCCGTCGTACGTAGTGGGCTGGGCGGGCAGAGCACTCTGCCGCACCATCCGGGAAACAGAAAAAAATCTTCTCATCAGAGGGAGAAGATACTACTGCTACCGAGAGACAAGAGCAGCCGCCGGATGCTCGACTACGGCGCACGAACGCACCCCCTCATGCAATAATGATGCTGCATGCGCGCGACGACGGTGATCAATCGATCGACCACCTACGATATTTCGTATCCGCTCCATCTTGCTCGACGTCCGCGCGCGTATAAATAGGAGCGCGCGCCGCATGGTTGCTACGTACGTATGCTCAATCCGCTAGCTAGCTAGCACGTGAACCGCGGGCTTTGCTACAGCTACGGGAAGTTTTAACGGAAAGTTGTTACGGAGATGAGGTGGAGACTTAGCATTCATCATGATTTTGGGCCCGCTGCTAAAATCAGAGAGCGAGAATCAATGAGATTAGAACACCTCATCCCGTAACCTCCGTCTGTAGGCTGAGCCCCGTAAGTCTAGCATTTTTGCGTGAACCGCTACAGAGCGAACCAACTAATGGCCCCGATTCCCATCCTGAGCTGCCTCTGTGGCGCACTGCTTCTGCTCGTGTTCGTGGTTGCCGCTGTCGTTGTCGACGCCACGGCGCCCTCCCTGTCCCTGGCCGCCAGGCACGAGCGGTGGATGGCCAAGTTCGGGCGCGCCTACACGGACGCCGACGAGAAATCGCGCCGGCGGGAGGTGTTCGCCGCCAACGTGCAGCACGTTGACGCTGTCAACCGGGCGGGCAACCTGACATACACGCTCGGGCTCAACCAGTTCTCCGATCTCACCGACCACGAGTTCCTGGAGACGCACCTCGGGTACCGTTACCAGCTTCGTCCTGAGGGCCAAACCGACGACGAGTTCCTGAAGGGCAACACGCCGGTGGCACCGGTGAACATGTCCAAGGCTCCCGCTCTGAGGAATGGCCAGTTCCGGTACATGCCGGACAGCGTGGACTGGAGGACCCAGGGTGCTGTCACCGAAGTCAAGAACCAACGCTTCTGCGGTATATTTCTGCAGCTGCAGTGCATGCATGGCATACGCCAAAGCTCGCAAATTAATACTAGTAAATGTTTTATACGTATGCGCGTGCGCGCGCAGGAAGTTGCTGGGCGTTCGCGGCGGTGGCGGCGACGGAGGGGCTTGTAAAGATCGGCACCGGCAACCTCATCTCGATGTCGGAGCAACAGGTCCTCGACTGCACGGGCGGCACCAACACCTGCAGCGGCGGAGACATCAACGCCGCACTCCGCTATGTCGCCGCCAGCGGCGGCCTACAGCCAGAGGCGGCCTACGCGTATAGCGGCCAGCAGGGCGCGTGCCGCAGCGGCGGCGTCAGGCCAAACTCGGCCGCCTCCGTCGGCGCCCCACGGTGGGCGCGCCTATACGGCGACGAGGGCGCGTTGCAGGAGCTCGCGGCCAGCCAGCCGGTGGCCGTGGCCTTGGAGGCCACGGACCCGGACTTCCGGCACTACAGGAGCGGCGTGTACGCCGGCAGCTCGTCGTGCGGGCAGAGGCTCAACCACGCTGTGACGGTGGTCGGCTACGGGGCGGACGGCGGCGGGCAGCAGTACTGGGTGTTGAAGAACCAGTGGGGAACGGGGTGGGGCGAGGGGGGCTACATGCGCGTCGCGCGCGGGAACGGCGCCAACTGCGGCATCGCAACCTACGCCTACTACCCGACCATGGACAGCTAGCTAATTAAACACCACACTAGCTAGTGACTAGTCGGTGGATCATCGAACATAGTTTATCAGCTAGCCACAGTACCATGCAACTGCATATAAGTATATGGATTCTAAACAACGAAATTTGAAGGGACAGACTACACGTCAATCGCCTGAAAAACAGAAAACGGTCAGTCGATCCTTCTTCTCCTGTATCAACCGTTCGATCAAGATTCAATGGACGTTGGTCGTCTTCAACCTCTGACAGATCTTCTTCCTCTCTCACCCGCCGATCCAGCCCAGCCCTAACCGCCGCCCCCCGCCATCCGCGGCCGGCGGCGCTCCCGCGACCGCCTCGCCGGCCCGCCCTCCCCTGAACCACCCCCACTGCTAGGTCTTCCACCGCTGCCAGCCATCCCTCTGGGCCCCCACGCCGAGGTGTTTCTTCGGCGAAGTCCCACACCATCACCTCACCATCACCGCCCACCACCGCCCCACCCTAAACCGTAACATAGATACTGGGGTTACAAGTCAGCTGGGAACCTTAAGGCCTCTTTGGGTTTTTTTTGCGGGTACGTTGGGATAAGTACCCCAGCGTAGTGGCCGAGCTTGGGACCATTTGTTGGGCAGTCTGGATGGGCCGTATAGAACTAAATAGCCTGTGGGCTGATATTTTAAAGTCTAGAAGTAAAGAGAATAGTGTATAAATGTCAAAATACTGGGTGGGCCACAATCCATTCGGCTTTGCTGGAGCTCCGCCAGTGCCCCAACAAATGTTTTGGTTTGCTACACAACCCTTGCCCTAGCGAACGTTTTCACCCGAGCCTTTTCTGATCCTCCAGGCCCAAATCCTATTTCGCTGTAGAACACACATAAAAAATTAGTCGAGGGTTTTGGTTACTATGTGGTCCATTTGGTTGGCAAGAAGGCGTGCAATACATGATGACCACATTAGAGTCCATTGTCTACTATATCCTTCATCAACGGGTACCTTGAGGAGCTGGACATTGCTTCAGTTCGGCCGAACCGCGCCACAACTCCGTCTATACCGATAGCTCGGCAACGGAAGTGGATTCCCCCTTCAGGTGATGCAGCAAAACTGAATGTCGATGGGGGTATTTCAAGTCCGGGAGACAAAGGAGTAGCAGCGGCAGTAGCCCGCGACAAGTCTGGACATTTTCTTGGTGCATCGGCTCTTGTTATTACAGGACTTGTCGACCCAGCCAGTCTTGAGGCGCACGCATGCAGCGAGGCACTTGCCCTCGCTCAAGATTTACACCTCCAGGAACTTGTTGTTGCCTCAGACTGCATGGAAGTGGTAACTAATATTAAGAAGGGAGCTATGCCATCATATGCTCCGGTGCTTAGGGACATACAGTTTAGTACATTGTTATTTTTTAAGGTCGTTTTTTGCTTTGAGCATAGAGATAATAATTTTGAAGCCAATCTTTAGCCAAAGGAGTCGCGTCTCTTGGAGTGGGCCGCCATATGTGGCTAGGGGTTTTACCGGATGTTGCTTGTATCCCTCTTGATTTGAACCTTGAATAAACCCCTAGTTACCCTAAAAAAGAAAAAAATACTTCTAAAAATTACAAAGAATGCTCTAAAAATCAGAAAAGCATGGCTAAATACAAAAAAAATTGCCATGCAATATAGCATAAATTCGCCAAAGATGTTTACAGAAAACACGCGTACAAGAACTTTTTTATTTTCCATTTTAGTATGAACAAACAAAAAATTGCCATGTGAAAGAAAACAAAACAAGTACTCCATCTGTTCCATATTAGTTGTCC